TTACGTACAATGGGAGAAATTACGACGAATATTGTAAGGAAATACCAATCTTTTATTTTCTTATTTAAAATTCTATTCATTTCAGAGAGAGCAAAAGTCTATTCACTCAATTCTCTCAAAATACAAAATATTGAATATTTTTATAATTTACTAGCTGGCCCGGTCCGCGTTGCCGGCCCGTAGTTTTTGTCTATTATGCATATATTCCCAAGCATAATTATTCACGGATATGACTGATATAAGTGTTCACGTACAGGTCGATTTAAAGTGTTTTAAAATACCTGTACCCATTTTTAACCAGTGGGCTTCAATATTTAAACCGTGGGCTTCAACTGTGTGGATGTGCTATACAAATCTATTAAAAAGTATATATCAATCTTATCGCCATATAAGGGATCAAATTAATTTTTAATATGGTAAAAATCGTAGCAAAATCTTCCAGTCAAATGAGCAGTAATTTGGAATTTGCTGTATTTTGTATACTACATAATTGAGGGCTGAATGATTTAAGAATAGCCAAAGTTAGTTACTTTTTTAAACCCATTAGCAACTTAGATTGTGCATTAGAGTCCTCATAAGTCCCCCTAACCATGTCAGTCTGTTTGTCCGCCAAAAGGTGGACTTGAGAGGGTATTATAACATGGATAAAAATTCTAAAATTTGTAGATATGTTGAAATTTTAGTGTAAGATTTTCACCCCCCTAATACGCATTATTAGCCAAATTCTTTGAAATGTGGTTAAATTAGGAGGTACCTTCTTTATATGGGCACTACTCCGAAACATCGACCTACATTGAAAACTTTCTTCTACCCCTTATAATCCAAGATGACAAATAGAGGCCAAATCAAAAATATAGCAGAACAATATAGCATGTCATAGCATTTCGCGAGATTTAAATAAGTAAAAATAGTTTTATCCACCTCATAATTGAGGGCAGAATGATAAGATGGGAATTAATTTTATTTGCCATTTAAATTGTAAGTTGGAGACCCCTTAAAGTCCATATTTTCATCATAGGATAATTCAATGATGATTAAACAAATATTCGGTCCCGTGCTACTTTCTTATATTTGTAATTTGTTCATGTTTCCACAATTTATTTCAAATGGATGCACATCCCAAATCTACGTTCCCAACCAATATTCTCTTGGGGGTTAAAAATTCAATAGAATACAAAATTTTCTTTTCTGACCACACATTAGATGTGAAAGTGGACTTGGGGATACTCCAATGTGGGGACTTTACTTAAATAAATTCCTATGTGGCAATTATCTGTATGATGGTTCCCTACCCCAGGGTGGCATAAATAAAATTTTTTAGCCAAATCAATTGATGAATGTGGTCAATACCAATATGGGCCCTACTCTGAAAATTTCAAATTTTATGCGAAGAGGTTATCTACCCCCTTAGAAACAAAAATGTCAAATAAGGGCCAAAAAATGAAAAAAGTGACCGGCCAAGACCCCAAAAATAACTTAAATCATAGATGGTTATATAAATATGAAATCGGGTTGTTCCCTTATCCATGAGTTATGATCGATATAAAGACCTGCAAAAATGATTTTAGGTATTTTGAATGTTTGGGAAGAATTTCTGGAAGGATATAAAACCTTTTCTTACTAAAAGTCCCATTCGCTCTACTATTTTGCACCTTTTATTTCAATATTGGTATATTACTTATTATTCTCCCAAAGAATTTTGCATTTTTAGCTCTCATTGGACGGATCATTGTCACGCTTTGAAATGAGCCCCATTAAGCTTTTTCGGTCATTTTTGTTTGTTTAAACGTGTTCGCATCTTCCAGCTAACCCACGATGTAGGCCCTGGAGTTGAAAGGTAGATGTCAGTTAACATCCTATTTCGCACTTATTCAATTTTTTTAGTGAAAAATTATTCTTTATTTTGTTCACAAAAAAAATTGACAAAAAAAAGAATAATAAATTGAAAAAGTCTTCAACTTTTTCGCTGATTTTTTACAGCAAATGTTTTAAGATCCTTCCTTACAAAGTTTGTCAATAGAATGTACTATTACTTTAAAATTCGATTCCATTGAAAATGTTTTTTTTTTTTTTTTGATTTTTGCAATGAGATCTCTTTTTCATGATTTTTCAGCGATTTAGAAAAAGTAATTATCTTTTAACTTTGGTGTGACCGCGTTAAATTATTTCGATATCATCTATTCCGTTTCGCCACCACATAATTCGCTACTACACTTCCATGTAACCCGCCATCAATTTCAGTTCTCAAGAAATCAAGTCAATTAAATAAATTGGTATAAATATTCGAATTCAAAAATAAAATATAAAAAACACTACAAATGTACATTAGAAAAAAGTAAGTCAAAATGGAAAAAAATCATGCAAAATAAAACATTACTATTGTACATTTGAAAAGTCAAAATGAAAATGTTAATATATCACATTTTTACGCGATTTTTTTTGGATATTATCCTTTTCGGAGAGTAGACAACTCCGAATTTGTGTGAATCGTTAAAATTAATCCAGCGGTTCTTAAGTTATAAGCGCAGTAACTAACACAACTTACATTTATATATATAGATTATTTATCAATTAAAAACGGAACATTGACTTTGTTTACATTTACACAACCCAAATATGTCGTGAAATATAAAAATATAGAACTTAAATAGCAGAAAAGTGAATAAACTGTTTTCGAAGTCGAGTGACTTCACTAGCCCTGAGTGACTTAACTGTCCCAAGATCAACCATAGTGACATCTGCCGGAAGGGGTAAATTTTAAAACTTTTTAGTCTATACCTTTATTTGTCTATGCTTTTACTAAAGATTTCCGTGGAGAGGAGCACTCTAATGAGTCTAAATTAGTTTTTTAATAGAACCTAAATTCAATACTTTAATCCAACCATGGAAGGTTGGATTAAATAGGACAATTCCTTCAAAAGTTAACGGCCGAAACAGCCAGACCAACATACTGACATAATTAGATCGACTTTAAATGTTTTAAAACAGATTTCGTTCAAAGATACGTTGGGTCTACATCAATTCTTGATGCGCAACATATGGACACAAAAGTCGACTTTTGGATTGTTGGCAACAATAAAAACCGACTTTAAGAAAATTCGGTCATCGACAATCTTTTATACAACAATTGTTTTAAAATATGTGTAAATGTGTGGGTACATAAGCAGCTTGTCATCATGGCTAGGCATATTAATGTCAAATTATAAGAAAAAACGACGACAGTATTCGAGTGCGGCTCTGGCATCTCTTTATGATATGTCACAAAATATGCCATACTAGGACTTCAAGCTGCTATTTTTGTCGGAGTATATAGAATGCAAAGAGTTTTATGATACCCTACACCACTTTGCTAATTTAGTAGAGCTCCACATAACAATTAAAAATTTTTATGGGAGAATTTAATCATACACGCTATGATTATAATTATAATTTAAAGTTCAGAAGACTAAATATGCCGAAGCATTTATGTTGCCCATTTGATATATATGGGAGCTATATCCAAATCTGAACCGATCTTGATAAAATTTGGCAAAGATATTTCTGAGCTGCATTTCATATATTTCCCTGAATACCTTTGTTACGGAGTGCATATTACGGCTGTGGGTAACAAATATAACAAATCGGATGAATGAAGATCGTCAAAATGAAGCGTTTCCCTCTGCGTGTTACAAACAAATGAACAAATACAGAATACCCTGGACCACAGTATGGATTAGGTTATAACTATCCAGATGTCGATCAACAGTAAAGTACTTCAATAGTATTGCTCGCGATCACCAACAACCGCAGAAGCTCATGGATTAGATTCGTCGGTAGAAAGGAAAAAAAGGCTCTCAAGTCGCTAACTTACATTAGCCCTTGGGTTGGGGAGATATTTCATACTCCAATAGGTACAGCCATGGCATAATTACAAAAGGTAGAACAAAGCTACCCCCTAAATACAATTTTTTCATTTGGTGCCCCTATTCTGTCAAAACATGTACACAGTTTGTATAAATGTGTGTGTGTATTGTTTTGAATAAAAATGAAAATAATTTGAAATTACTTCAAATTTAGAGACAACAGAAATGCGATTTTCCACGTAAGACAATATTGGTATAAAATAATATTGGCGTACTATCTTGGATTCAATTTTGTGGAGAAACCCCAAAATTACATTCAAGTTTTGTGTGTTTTCCCCAACATAATCATTTTATGAAAAAAATGTTAAATAAATAAAACCAATTAATAAAGCCTATTTGACATAATAAAGCTGGGAATACATAAAGCGCTTATTTGGCTGGCTTAAGTCATCAGCTGGCTTCTTCGGAAATGAACAAAGGAGCCTAGGGCCAAAATCGAACTAAGTCAACCTAAAACTCCTTTGTTCATCTACGAAGAAGCCAGCCGATGACTTAAGTACAGAGTTGCATTTTCTTACTTACCTTGAAGTTGAGCAACCCTGCTTATTGGGCCAAGTTTTTCGGCAATTTTTATATTCAAACAAGGGGAGAACGGCTATTTTGATTCCTATACTTCTTGTTGGCTCTCTGATATCTTTACCACTATATATATTCGTATATACGCATATCTTCAGTGAATATTTTGTTATCTATTTCAGATATTTAAGTATTTAAATGTGCAAGTCCTTCAAATGTTATCTGGGTTATCCCTCAATTGGATAATGTTATCGTGCCCAACAATTCATGAGAACATTGAATTTATTTTAGCCTTATAATTGCTTTTGTTGGTCGGAAAACAAGTGTCCCCTGTCCGCGCTAAACATACAACGCTACATGGGTTTAGTGTGTTAGCTTTTTTATTGGCTCTACAACAGCGAACACATGTTGTTGGAACGTTTGCCGTTTGCTTCTATTTCTACTCAGAAAGAAAGGGACATTTTTTTTGTCCAAGTATTGATTTACGAGTTGCCCACAATGGGTCAGTGGAATGCTCGAAGGTGTTACTGGCGACATGAAAGTCTTGCTATTGTTGTTGTTGCTCTGTTTTTACCCGCACCGAGTTGCATCGCAACATTGGAATTTTTCAGTTGAGTCAGAAGGCTTCAAGTGCACGGACAAATATTTGCCGCAATTGTTATTGAACTCGATTCGCCCAAGCGAGTTATGTCAATATTGAAACTCCATTTGGAGACTGAACACTGTGATAGATTTTAGTTCAATTTTATCAAAACGGCGAAGCTTTGCAAAAGATAAGCGAGGGGATGCCTTTTCATTATCTTTGATTTATAAAAAAAGGGAAAGTAGAGTTTATCATCAACAAACGATAAAAAAATTTATGACTGGAAGTTAAACAAAATCTTCACTGATCTACAGTTGACATTTAGTATCGGATTGTAAAACAGTTAAGAGCGTCCCAAAGTTGTGAAAAATCAAGAATGAAAAATATATATTTAGTTAAATGCGTGTTTTGGTGTGCCTTAATGGTTGTGATCGTGAAGGCTGAGGAAATGGATTTTCAAGCAAATGGTAAATATAATACCGGATATGTATATAAAAGGGTAGTGAAATAACTGGCTGACTGATTGACTTACTGAAAATCAACGACCAGACGAAACGGCTGAAGCTAGTATCTTGATATCTTACACGAGGGTCAGTCTTGGTGTATAATAGGGCTGGGTTTTTGGAAATTCATACTAAAAGGGAACGAAATGTACTAAAATATACCAAAAATTGATTTTGCATTGGACAAACGGAACGAGCTAGAATTCTGAACTTTTAAATGAGGATCACTGATGGAGTTGGAAATGCATACTATAGTTGTACGAAAATTATTAAATGGTATTTAATTTGGTATTGGTTGAAGGGATAAGGCTGGAATCCTCAAATTTTAAATTGAGGTCTCTATTGGTATTTGGAATTAAGATAAGGGCGTGATTTTGGAAATGTGTACTATAATTGTACGAAAAGTACTAAATAGCACTAAATTTGGTGTGGGGCAAGGAAACAGTGCTGCAATCCTGAAAATCGATATAGATGTCACTGCTGGTCTATGCAGTTAAGATATGGAGGTAGTTTGGGAAATGTGTACTGTAATTGTTTCAAAAATATTAGGTGGTACCAAATTGGGTATTAAATGATGGAATAGAGCTGGAGTAACAAAATTTGATATTGATGTCTCTGTTGGTATCTAGGATTGAGATATGGAAGTGGTTTTGGGAATGTGTACTATAATTTTTCGAAAAGTACTAAATCGTACTAATTTTGTATCACTACTGGTGTCTAGCATGGAGAGTTGTAGATTGTCATGGATGTGCGTACTAAATGTTACTAAATTTGGCATTGGGTAAAGGGATAACGCTGAAATTCAGAAATTTGACGTTGAGGGCACTGCTGGTTTCTAGAGTTAACATATAGAGATTTTAATAACTTTGGACTGAAAAATTGGATGTGAGTCCATTGTACAATTGTTTAACTAATATCTCTCTCTGTAAACTTTAAAAAATTAAAATTAATCGCATTAACTGAAAGTTTGTGTATGATTTTCTTTAAATATTATACAATATATTTTAATGAAAGGACATAGGCTGAAGTTATACATCTGTCAGCACTACAGACTGGTACTTTTTTATTCATCGATTTTAATGGGGTTTAATCTAAATTACTCTTCCTAAAAAATATAATTGCAGCACTAAAACTTTTAGTATCTTTTTTTGCTGTCTCAATTGTGACCTAAATGGAAAACTCGAAGATTCTTGTTTTAAAAGTTTAGACTTTTAGTCCAAAACAAGTAAAAAAGCTGTAAGTTCGGCCGGGCCGAACTTTGAATACCGTCCACCATTTGGTACAAATTTGGCAATTTACAAAAAAAAAAAAAAAAAAAAAAAACAAAAAAAAATCTATTAAAAGTTCTGTTAAAATCTTAAAAATGGGGTTCCGTTATATGGCGGCTATACGAAGACGTGGACCTGCACGGACAATTTTCTGTCACAGGCTGTAATATCCATTACGAACTTCAAATACTAAATTTGAAATAATGTCGCTAAAATCTTCAAAATACCGAATATCGGGGGGTGCCGTTATACGTGGGCTATACGAAGACGTGGACCTGCACAGACAATCTTCTGTCATAGGATGTAGCATCCATTAAGAATCTCAAATACCAAATTTGAAACAATTCCGGTAAATAATGTCGCTAATATCATCAAAATACCGAATATAGGGAGGTACCGTTATATGGGGGCTATACGAAGATGTGGACCTACATAATACACATTTGAGTAAATTTTAATTAACTTACTTCATTTCGGAATCTAGAGTGATTTCCACAGACGAACAGGCGGACGGACATTGTTAAATCGACATAGAATTTTATGCTGATCAAGAATATGTATACTTTGTGGGGTCTAAAATGTATCTTTCGAGGTGTTACAAACGGAATGACAAACTTAATATACCCTCCATACTATGGTGGAGGGTATGAAAACTGTTAGTGGTACCTTTTCGTAGATCTCCACTTTATCGCCCACTTACCTACCAACAGCTACGTACACGACAAATTTAAAAATTCTAGTCTTATCACTTTCTTCCTTCAGATATTAAAAAATATTGGGAGGTATCGTTATATATGGGCTATACAAAGACGTAGACCTGCATGAACTATTTTCTGTTATACCCATTACGATCTCTCAATACGAAATTTGAAATAAGCACAATTAATGTCGAATATTGGGTGGTGTCGTTATGTGGGCGTTCGAAAGATATCGTGATTACAACAGATGAACGGACAGACTGATAGGCAGACAGACCACCATTTTGAAGAAAGAAAAGTCAAGGGTGCTATATGAAAACTTGATCCTGCGCATTCAATTTTTTGTCATAGGCTGTAGTACCCGTTACGAACTTTAAATAGAAATTTTAAATATTCCGATAAAAATGTCGCTGAAATCATCTAAATACCGAATATAGGGGAGGGGGGGATGGTATTGCATTGTGGCTACACGATATCGTGGACCCACATAGAGACAATTCCCTTTTACAGGGTAATGCATTCAGAAGGAACTCCTTGTGTGGATTTTCAGACAATTCCATTTGAAATGTCTCTACAATCATCAAAATACCGAATATCGGGTGGAACGGTAATGTAGGATATACGATATCGTAGACCTTTATAGAAAATTCTCTTCCAAGGGGTAAAGTACTCACAAATAACTCCTTGTGTAGGAGTTTGAATCGAAAAATGTGGCTAAAATCATCAAAATACCGAACATCGGGGGTACCGTTATATAGGGGCTATACGACATCCTAGGCCAATGCAGCCCATCTTCGAACTTGACTTCCCTGTAAACAAAAGACTGATCTGTGCAAAATTTTCCTTCTTATCTTCATTCGTTTTGACTCAAGCGTGATTACAACAGACGAACGGACGGACAGGGCAAAATCGTCTTAGACTTTTTCGCTGATCAACAATATATACAGGGTGAGATAAAAAAACTGCAACAAAGTCAAAAGCCATAAATTTTACTTTTTTAATTTGATTGAATGAAAGCAAAAAATGTTGGAAATAGCATCAAATTTTAGAGTAAGTTTAGATTTGTTGGTATTCCAACAACCAATGAAACCGTCACACGCTGCCCGAATGTTGATCTGCGGTATTTTGGCCCATTCCGTGCGAAGCGCTTGGTTGTGGCGATCGACACTTTGGTATTTTTTAGTACCAACCATGCTTTTCAAAATACTCCAGACACAATAGTCCAACGGATTGGTATCCGGAGATTTTGGTGGTAATATTCGGCATTTATTCTGATGCCACGGTCGATTAATACGAGCGGAGAACGACCGTCGGCTATTATGGCTGTCCACACCATCACCATGTCCGGTGCTTGAGTTCTGTTTGCCAACCGAAGGTGCACATTTTCAGCTGACCTCTTTGGCAAGTAAACACGATCCTTTTGTTCGATTACAAAACTGCTAGACAACGAATGTTTTCGCATCGGAGAAAACCAAATTCGGCAGTTCACCACCTTCGGCCAAGCGAAACAACTCTTTAGCACTTTTGAGTCTATTTTTTTTCTGTTGCACTTTTTGGAATTTCAATGGCTTTACCCCGAGCTCGTTTTTCAATATTTGCCGAATGGAATATTGCGATATGTTCAGCTCACGAGCCATTTTTTGGCCACTGCAAGGCGTTTCGATCAAGTCGCTTTTTTTATTTTCGAACCATTTCTGGTGATGTTGCTGTTTTCTTCTGTTTCTTACCAGTATCTAGCGATGGTATGATACATAAAAGATTTATTCACATTTAAATGCGGGAGTGATCTAACGATAGCCACTTGTGGTTTTCCAGCCAAGTATAAAAAATCACAATATCACGCTTGAATTCAATCACGAATAACTTTTCTTCTGGAAAGTTCTCACCAAAATGCTTTTGTACGCTTTTAAAAAATATAATGAGCTGTCACTGGAATAATTTTAACAGCTATTCGACAAGTGCCTTAGAAATGACAGCAGTTTGAAATTGGTTGCGGTTTTTTCATCTTAGCCTGTATAGTCACTAGTCCTGTTATACTATATCAAAGTTCTCTTTACATTTCGACAGCCTTTTTGATTGCAAGAACCTCGGTCTGAAGAACACACTTAGCGATTTGCTTCAAGCTACGTGTATCGTAGAGATAAAATTTGTATATGTGTTATATCGGTCGACTTTTCCTGGTAGCTCCCCCTCAAATGTCAAAATTTTTAAAAAATTATAACTCTTAAAAATGTTAAGTAATCCACCGATGATTTTTTTAACTTCGCATAAAGTTATAACTCCAGTAACATTAGATCTAGTGTGAATATGGGACTTATCGGGCACTACTTGTGGTATCTTCCTCAACCTCAACAGAAGGTGTATAGGTCCAATTTCAATGAAGCGCTCCTTGTGTCATGTTCAAGATTGTAGTATTAATCCTTTCGCCTTATGCCACATTTAGTACCATTTAGTACTTCTCGTACTTATATAGTATGCATTTTTAAAATCATTCTTTACCCTCCACCTTGAAAAGGAGGGTATATAAACTTTTTTAATTCGTTTGTAACATTCATAAATATTCGTCGTAGACCCCATAAAGTATATATATTTACGATCAGCATTCAATTCTACGTCGGTTGAACGATGTCCGCCTGTCTGTTGAGATCATGATACAGCCCACATTATTTGACGTAGAGCTTCAAAACTTGGCAGAGCAATTTGTATTGTGTCTAGGATGGTTGGTATTGAAAATGATTATATTGTTCAACGTTTTGGTATAGCCCCCATATAACGGTACCTCCCGATATTCGTTGTTTTTCGCCACATTTTTGCACGGATTTGTCTAAAAAATGTTAATAATGGGTTCAAGCTCCCCGTTTTTGTATAGCCCCCATATAACGGCTCCTCCCGATATACGGTATTTATTTTAATGATTTTTGCCACATATTCCCACGGATTTGTCCAGCAACTGGTATTTGTAGTTTATAATGGGTTATAGCTCCGGTGGCAGAACATAGTGTGTATAGGACGACGTTTTCCTATAGCGCACATATAACGATACCTATCGATATTCGGTATTTCGATACTCCTAGTTACATTTACCCACGAAATTGTTTCAAATTTGGTATTTTAAAAGATTTGGTAGATGACAATCCTTGAAGAGATTCCCGATTTGTATGGCCCCATATGACGGCATCACTCACTTTTTGGGTTTTTGAAAAGTTTAACAGCATTATTCAAACGGTCTTACTGGTATTTGTAGTTTAAAGTGGAACGCGTATGAATCCAGATACTTTTATATAAAAATGTTTTCTTTACCCAATGGCGAAGAGTATTAAAAGTGAGGCCTGGCCGAATTTTTTTAATTTTTAATTTTTTTTAATTGCCAACATTGAAATACAGAAAATTGGAAACGGCTATCTAAATAAAAAAGATTATTATCTTGGTTTTGAATAAATCTTCGAACTACTTTAGGAAACAAGATTATAGTCATTCTACTATTTACAAATGCATTTCTTATAATATATCTTTAATATCTATTATATTTTTAATGACTCATGACTCACTGACCACGTCGATTTAACAATGTGTATAATTCGTGCTAATAGCAAATAAAATATTAATTACATTTTGTGCCTATCTACAGACTTTTTTTCAACAACTTTGCTTAATATGGATATTAACTCGATAATTTCACCGATTCATTTATTATGAATATTAAATTCAATGCAGTTTTTCCATTGTTTTAAAGTTGTGTTTTTAACTCCAGCATAAAGCCCAGAGGACACATTTGTTATAGTGCATTTCATTCGAATATAAGTGTTGTTGAAAAGTAGGTAGGGGGAGCGATAGAGGGTTTTATATAAAGAACAATAATTATAAGCTTTCAATAGTTAAATGTGGGAAAATATCGGACCGATAAACCCCTTTTTCATGTTTTTCATTAATAGCATGTTGCCATTGATATTCGAACAAGGTTTTTCGCTCTTATAATTATGAACACAAAATAACACGTTCTCACGGCACCATTCGTCATTCGCAGTAACATGATACATTAGTACTTATTTATTTGTTTTATGAAAAATTTAAGCTAGGATATGTAATTAATTAAAATTAATAAAAACAATTTAAAAAGTATCAGTTGCTTTTGCCGGCAGATGTCTACCCTCAGCCTATGTCCGTATATTAAAATATTTTTTTTGTCTTGCGTTATGATTATTCAAATTTTTTTAACCTCTATTGGGATGGCACCGAAGGAGTGGGACAATACTTTCCTTTTCGCATCTGACCTAAGATTGTATAAATATAGCCTCCTGCCAGGTTTGGACTATATCGAATTTTCTTCCATTTTATTTAAGATAGTTGTATATATTTCTTGGAAAATGTTGTTGGATTGATGTGGTCAATTTCCACACTTTTTTGAATGCAGATTTAAAATATTAACATTGTTAATAATTTTTTATTTTTATGGGGAGGTACCAGAAGAAGTGAACCGACATACTTACATTTGTGATTGATAGAAATCTTGAGATACCTAGTGTATCGCAGGATTTTTTTCAAATGTTATGAGAGTTTTAATTATTCAACATTTTGAGTTCCATATTCACACGAGATCTAATATAGGTAAAGTTATTGCATTATGCGAAGTAAGAAAAAACAACGAATAAATATTTTGAATTTTATGAGACTTGTAACCATTTAAAATGTTGTCCCCTTGTGGCGTGTTCAGCAGGAGTGGCTGAGAAGTCCCTTATTCACATCAGATCTAGGGTTTAGTGCAACATTGCGATATACATACTCAGTTTAATGAGAATCGCTGACTTGTACTCAAAATTATGACCCTTTGTTAAGGAAGGTTCTTGATGGAGTGGTCAGCCATTTTCCATATTCCCACCAGATTTTACGTTTATAAAAGCATTTGAATGTAGGATGTTTGAAAAGAATGGGATAATAGCTTTGCATTTTATGAGCGTTATAATTATTTAAAATTATGACCCTTTGTGTAGGAGGTACTAAAGAGGGTGGTGCCCCATATCCCATCTTCTCACAAGGTCTTCGGTTGATTAAAATATTTTGGTTTGTGAAGCTTAGCGGTGAAAAATTTTACATTTTGTGGGGGAGGTAGCAGAAGGAGTGGACTGGCATTGCCCATCTCCCAACTCGATCTACGAGTACGTTTCAAAATAATAGTACGATGTACCAAGTTTGGATCAAATCGAATACTCCCTTCGAGAGTAGAAGTGCGCATCAGACGACAGACAGACGGACGGAAATCCTAGATTGTATCCAAATGTCCACAAACGGGTTTCGCCAAAAGAAACCCAATGTCTAAACAGGACTGGAGTGACTGGGCCAACCCGATTTTTTTTTGTAGTCTTCTGAAAATTTAGTTTGAAGTAACTCCTGATATTTTTTTATATCCCCAGCCAGATGGCTACAATCTGTCGAAGGGAGCGCCCGATTTGGTCCAAACTTGGTACATCGTCAAAATTATTGCCAAACTTTGTTCGAGTTCGGAGATGTCTAACATCGGTCAACTCCTTCTCACAAAGGGTCAATATTTTGAATGACCAAGACGATTATAATATGCGAATTGAGTATTTGATTCTCTTCAAAATTCACACTTCCCAATATTTCTGTGAAGATGGAGTACATAGGACCACTCCTTCTGATTCCTCCCAACAATGGGCCACAAATTGGAATAACCCAAACTCTTATAAAATTCGAAATAGGCATCAGATTCATTCTAAGCTTCACACACTCCAATATTATCACTAACACAAGATCTGGTATGGGAAGATGGGATATACATATTGGCTCAGTATCTCATATAAAATACTGGAAGAAGTCGAAATCTGACTGTTATATATGTTACGGGTAGCTCTACTAAATATGCATAGTGGTGTATGATATAGTCGGGCCCGCCCGACTTTTGAAATTTCTTTACTGGTTTTCTATGACCATGAGTGATTCCTCTCGAATTTGTTGAGTGAAACTCATATTTTGGAAGCATGATTCTACTGTAACTGTATAGCGTTTCGATTACTTTAAAATTTGCGCCTAAAAGTATGATATAAAATGCTTAAAAAATGTTTACTTTTTATAACCTCCACCATAGTATGGAAGGAATATTAAGTTTGTTATTCCATTCATTTATTTGGCATTGAAAATGGGTCATGTAGGTCCACGTTTTGGTGGTTTGCCCCCATATAACGGTACCTCCCGATATTCGATATTTTGATGATTGTTTCAAATTTAGTATTTGAAGTTTGAAATGAATACTACAGCCTATGACCGAAAATTGTCTGTCTTCGTGTAGCCCTCATATAATGGTAACCCCCCACCCCCCATATTCGGTATTATGACGATTTTAGCGATATTTTCCATCGGAATTGTTTCAAATTTCGTATTTGAAGTTCGTAATGGATGCTACAGCCTATGACAGAAAATTGTCTGTGCAGGTCCACGTCTTCGTATAGCCCCCATATAGCGGTACCTCCCGATATTCTGTATTTTGATGATTATAGCTACATTATTCACCGATTGTTTTTGTTAAGTTTCGCATTTAAATATTGTAATGGCTTATGACAAAAGTTACCTATGCAGGTCCATGTCGTCGTATAGGCCCTTATGTAACAGCTACATTCGGTATTTTTAAGATTTTAACAGCACTTTTAACGGATTTTATTGTTTTTGAGAATTGCCAAATTCGTTCCAAATTCGGCCCGGCGAACTTACAGCTTTTTTTCTTGTTACTAATTTTGAGGTGTAAATATTTAAAAATATCCAGACACTTTTTGACGCCAATTTTAACAAATTGAATTTTTTTCTTCTAGAAATCACACCGAATGCACCAACCGCCGCCCCAATGTTATCGACAACACCTTTGCCGATTGTTTTGCAAATGACCACACAACAGACGGTGGAACCTCAGTCAACGGAAAACTCTTCAGCAAATAAACTGCCAACTGAAGTGAGTAACAGCGGTCAGTTGGATGGCGAATCGAATCAGTTGAATGCTGAAAAACATCCGGATAAAGAAGTAAACAAAAATGAACCACACAAAACACCCAATGATGTGGAAGTTTTCGAACAGAAACCTGGACCGATAAAACAAAATCAAGAAGAAGAAGCGGAAGCTGCAGAGCCGGAGCCGGAAGCGGTACCAGAAGCAGAACCTGAAGCAGTAGAAGCTGTACCTGAAGCAGCGGAAGCTGAACCTGAAGCAGCAGAAGCAGAACCTGAGGCAGCGGAAGCAGAACCTGAGGCAGCCGAAGCTGAACCAGAACCGGCTGCAGAACCAGAAGCTGAACCTGCCCCAGAACCGGAACCCGAGGAAAATCCCGAACCGGAGCCCGAAGAGGCACCCGAATCAGAGCCTGCCGCACCCGAACCAGATGAAACCCCAGAAACTGAGGCAGAAGTCAAACCTGAAGCAGAACCAGAACCTGAGGCAAAACCAGAAACCCAACCTGAGGAGGAAATGCAAAATGATGCACCAGCAGCTGATGAGACCGCACCTGAGGCGACACAAGCCACACTTGTGGCCACTGATGTATTAGATAACAAAGATAATAATACAAAGACTTGCTATAGCTGTAATAGCCTGGAAGAGATCACCTGCAAAGATAAACCGACGACACAGATGAACTGCAAAATAGGTGATGCGGATAAAAATGGCGGTCACAGGGGATGTTATACTATTTTCAAAGGTATGTTGATATTTTATTTAGTACATAGAATACATTATGATGTATGTATTTATGTCTATACGGAACATAATGTATGCTTAAGTTTACTCCAGTTTGGGATCATTGGGCTTTTCTAAAGGCTTGCTCATGAAGTTTATTCCCAAATTTTTGCAAAATATTATAATTTGGATAACCCCGTTTAAAGGTATATGAACTTTTATCAAAAAGTTCTCTTAATACATGTTGATACTGGAGAGTCGGTGCATGCTGTCTTATACGTTTCGCCGCCACTTGAGTGTCGATATTAGAGGCTTGCCGTAGTCACGATTTAAGGTTTAAACTGTTTCACTCTTAATATACACATACCTAGGAAGCTGACTTATTCTATTGACTTATACCGAGTCTACAATAGAATGTTGCTTCCTAGTCTACAAACCAATATCTTTCTCACGTACACTTCGCTTTGGGAAACCCTTGGACAACCGGGCAAAAATGTCCATTACCAAACAAAAAATAATTTTTGGCAATCGAAACTACTTACAAATCATAGGTCGTACAAAAGGTAATTGCCAAAGAGCTTCTTTCCAAAGGCAATGTGCGACTTTAAAACAGTCCGGTTACGTTGGGTAATGTTTTATTAACCGTGTGGTAGCACTTTCCAGTACTTAATTCCTGAATATGAATCTATATGACAATATAGCACTATTTTTATTAAATGTATAATAAAAATAAATTCCACACATGTACACATACATATATATTTCCAATTACCAATCAAATGCTTTCTTTTCAGCCGACACCAATATGACAATGCGCGGATGCATCGATGAATTGGCCGAAGAGGGTCTCCGTGATTGCCTGACCAAGGATAAAAATTGTCTTTTGTGCTATTCGAATGGCTGCAACAACAAACCATCGCCCAATGCCGGATTCAGGATCCAGTTGGATATATCCATGCTGATACTGCTCAATGGAATTGCATTTGGTTTTATTAAATATTTATAAAATGTGACGTAATTTTTTTTTATATTTCTATTTTTTCACAATTTTAATACTTCAAAAATTGAAATGAATAAATGAACAAAACGTGATTAGTAACAAGTCAAAAAGTATCAGTCGGCTTTGCCGACAGCCTCAGCCATTGTTCGATTATTTTAATATAGTTTGACTTCTGTCATGATTATTAAAATTATTGACCCTCTATGGAGTAGGTTCCGATGTCCATTTCGTATCGGACCTACATAAATACGATATAAATGTGGGATAACTTGGTTCATGGTAGAAATACCAGGTAGCAACATAAGGCGAAATTACAACAAAGCAACTTTTTTGGAAATTTGATATGTCAAAGTTGTAGTCAGGGCGAATTGTTTTGAAGTGCAAAATTTGGGGCAAATTATTTTTCCAACAAAATATTGAATTAAAAATTCTAAAATTGTTGTTTTTTCTATTACCGAAGCAAATATTCAAAACTTCCAACATCGATTGAAAGTAATGCTGAAGCCGCTGCATCTTGGTTTGATTATAGCACGTTCAATACAACATTTTTGAAAATCACAGAGACTGGAAATGGAGTGATCGCCCATAATGCGTAGTCTCCAGCGCGCCAACGAAGGACATTGGCGATAATAGATGTCCAATCGTTGTTATCTCTTCATCATCCTTACACAGCATGCAGTCTTGGTAACGTTGGCAACGCTGATTTCATATTCAATAGCGATAATGTTATTTACAAGAAAATATACGGAAAATTAGTTTTGATGCTTTAAAATTTGGTTTTGTGGTGGTTCTGGGGTGTACCCTTTCTTCTTTTGCTACATCGTCAGCTTTCTCGCTGTAGTGACATGCTACCTAAAAGGTACTTTAGGGTATATTTACTCCTCAGGCTTACTTAAGATTTGGATCAAAGATTGCAGAAGATACAGGGGGCTGAGTCTACTGTGAGTCCACGCATATTATTTGCTCAGCTATGAAATGTATAGCAGACAGGAAGTCTTTTATGTATAGATAACTTTAATACATTGAAATAAAAAAAATTATCTCAATATTTAATCACACCCCAAAAATTGCCGATGTTTTGTTCCCCAAACCAATCCAATATGCTTTGGAATCATTCACCTTTCACTGTTGAAACCCTGTAGTGTATAACATAGTTGAAAATCCGTACAAATAAGATGATGAAATTCTATGTATCGGTTTATCTCCTATATGAAATTGATTCCCTGTTTCACTTATTTCAATTATCCACGAATTTTAGATCTCCATATTACCTATGCCTACCATATGTTGAATATATACTTTTTCCCTCATACTCTATAAAAACGTAAAATCTAGATTTTCTATCAATAGCAGTTTGAAATCATGCAACAATTTTCTTATGTGTAAATGAAGGCGAATTCAAATTACAACAATTTTTTGACATATCAAATTGATACCAGCTGGCCTGAAAGGGTTACCTTGTAATTCTACCATGACTTGGTTGGTAACTTCCTTCACTTTACATGGCACATGTGACATTTTTAGAAAATGGTAACATGGAGGTACCAGAAGGAGTGGACCGGTATATTCCATCTTAGCACAAGATCTTGGGTTTATAATAATATTGGGATGTGCGAAATTTTAAGATAATCGGACTCTTACATCACATTTTATAAGAGTTGTAAATATTCAAAATTTTGACCCTTTGTGTGGGAGGCACTTGATGTAGTGGACCGATATTGTCAATTTTCGCACCTAACCTAGCACTGACGTAAATATTAGCATTTGCTAAGTTGGATCAAAATCTGACTATCGTTTCTCTTTCTGTGCAAAAAATATTTTTTTGAAGAATTCGACTTTTTGTGGGGTAGATACCAGAAGGAGTGGACCGATATATTCCATCTTAACACCAGACCTTGGGTTGACAAAAATATTTTTGCACCTGACTTAGAACTGACCCAAATATTAGGATTTGCAAAGTTGGATCAAAATCGGATTATTGCTTCTTATTCTGTGCAATTTTTTTTTGAAAATTTCGACCTTTTATGGGGTGGTACCAGAAGAAGTGGACTGATGTATTTTATTTTGGCACCAGCCCTTGGGTTGACAAAAATATTGGGATGTGTGAAATTTGAAGACAATCGGACCCTTAAATCACATTTTATAAGAGTTGTAATTATTTAACATTTTGACCATTTGTGGGGATGTTATTCAAGCGTAATAGTGTGATTTCTTTATATTTGGCTGGAAAACCACAAGTGGCTATCGAAAGTACTGAACTGCCGAATTTGGTTTTCTCCGATGAGAAAACATTCGTTGTCTAGCAGTTTGTAAACAAACAAAATTATTGTGTTTACTTGCCAAAGAGGTCAGCTGAAAATGTGCACTTTCGGTTGGCCACCAGAACTCAAGCGCCGGCCATGGTGATGGTGTGGGCCGCCATAACAGCCGATGGTCGCTCTCCACTCGTATTAGTCGACCGTGGCATCAGAATAAATGCCGAATATTATCGCGAAAATATTCTGAAGGGTATATTAAAGCCTTATGCTAGGAACACAATTGGAGCGAACGACGAATTTCGCCCTACGCGGCGACAAAATGAGCCGCGAAAATTCGTCGTATGGAACACAATACCGACGAAATTATAAAACAGCTGATGAAGTTGTTTACTTTTTGCTCATTTGTTGACTACAATGAATTATACAAGAACACATAATTCTTTACGTTCTCTATTATAATTTCACTTATGTCCATCTTCTCTATTATAAATTCACTGATATCCATCTTCACTCAGGCGCAAGTACACAAATAAATAAACAAATTAATTATGTCTTTTTTATACGAGTAACAGATAGTAGAGTGACCATAACAAATTTTAAAGTAAAAAGTAACTTTATTTACTAAAACACATAAAATTCGTACAAGTATGGCCACCTTGTACTGTTTTGTTCGCCGGTCGCCGGCGTATGAAATAGAAATAAAGCTAATTGAGTTCGCGGCGACCGACGAAATTTTCGCCGGTGCCGTGATTGTGTGCACTTCCATATACACATATGTGTTTTATTTTTGACGACGAACATACGCCGCGAAAAAATTCGTCGTTCGCTCCAATTGTGTTCCTAGCATTAGGCACGCAAACAGTTTGGCCGCAGACCTTGGACATTCTAACAGGACTCCGCACCATCGCACTCAGCACACGCCATCCAAAAATAATAAAAAATAAAAAAAATGAGGTTCCTCGCTTCATTTCCAGCGCACAATGGCCACCAAAATCTCCGGATACTAATCCGTTGACTATTGCGTCTGGAGTATTTTGGAAAGCAAGGTTGGCACTAAAAAATACCAAAGTGTCGATACGGTTTCATTGGCCGTTTCGAACAAATATAAACTTATTCTAAAATTTGATGCTATTTCCGACATTTTTTGCTTTCATTCAATAAAATTAAAAAAAAAATGTAAACATTATGGCGTTTGACTTTGTTGCAGTTTTTTTATCTCACCCTGTACATGTATCTCAGTTTTTTTCGGGCTTACGATAAGATCTCTTCCTCTTGCCCAGTTGTATGCAAGTTTGGGAGCCAACTCTGCCCTTCTGCACAAGAAGTGTGAGTTCCTTCCCCTCAAAAGTATTATAACGTCATCTGCAAGGGGGACTGGTTCAAATTCTTCGTTGGCTAATGTCCTTAAAATACTGTTTATGGTAGTAAACCGCAGAAGAGGCGATAAAATCCCTCCCAGTGGCGTTTCTGGCTAACTATGTCCCATATGTTTACGACATATAGCCCTTGTACCGTCACCTTTAGATATTGCGTACCGGGACTTACTAGGTTTGGTTTAATTTGTTTTTTTTTTATCAATTGTCTGGAATATTTATTTAATCATATTTTAATTACAATTTATTTTAATAATAATTTTAATGAAGTAAAAATAATACAGATCCATTGAAATGTCGGCATACATGTATGTACTTTTTATACGCGTTGTGACATTAGATATGACTTATTTCCTCTCACATAAAGAAGCGCACCATGGAGAGGAGCAATACAGCCATGATGGATAGTTTAATTGTGGCACTGGAATTACACTCCGATTCCAAGCATATGTCACACTTTTCAACTGGGCCAGGGATACCAGCTTCTGCGACGGCACAGGCTGTTTGCGATTGATTTTTAACTACACATCCCTTTTTGGTGTTTGTCTTGTCGCCCTCTAAAATTTAAGAAAACAAGAATTAATTAAGTGTTTTCATTTTTTTGAGTAAACGTAAGATAATCGCTAATTATAGAAACCAACAATCCATATTTTATATTTTTCAATTAACACTATATTAATTATTACTATACTTATACGTTATTTATACTCTACTGTTACAATGGTAGATAAATACAGGTAAATGCATCAACACTTGGGAACATTGATATGTCAACAATTATTAAATGTTTCTTCAAAAATGTACATTTTTTCCTATACGATGCCAATCGGAGGATGTTAATATGCATTTTTAAAAAATTAAAAAATTAAACAAATTTAAATTACTTTTTCATTTACAAATTTCAAATCCAAAATTGGTTTGACAGTTCATTGTCACAGCAGTCGATGCCACTACCTGTATTCTTCTGCCATAGTTTTGTCCGTGTTGTTATATGTTTTCCTATAGACGCAAATCGGAGGTTGTTATGATGCACATTTTTCAACAATTTTTTAGCCGCCACCATTCTATGGAGGGTATATTAAGTTTGTCATTCCGTTTGTAACTCCTCGAAATATTTATGATAGACCCAACAATGTATATATATATTGGATCAGCTTAAAATTCTAAGACGATCTAGCGATGTCCGTCTGTCTGTTTGTTGTAATCACGCTATCTTTCGAACGAATTGAGATAGAAGACTAAATTTTTGCATGCATCGAGTGTACATAATACTTTCTAGATATTTTTGAGTGCGGTTAAGGCGCTGGGAAAAATCTAGCAATAAACAATAAATATTCGGAAATTTCATATTTCCCAGCCGCCATAAAATACCACATGTGAACAATTCAGTGAGGTTGTGCGCTGACGCATACGATAATGTGTGAGATAATAAAGGTTATGGCCCACACGAAGAGATATCGATGCGCTCAGTAGATGCACAAGACCACTTGAATGAAATAACAAGCAGCCTTGCAATGTTCGCCATTGAGTATTAAAACAGATAAGAATAATTGCGTGGCTGCGATTAGGTTAAGTTAGATTAGTTTTTGCAGCACTTAAGGAACATATTTTTTAAATAAAATTAGAATTGAATCAACAGCCAAACCATTCGGTTGGTTTTCTTTTCTCATTTAATCATTGATCCCCCGAACAGGATCCGAATAAGGAATAGAGTTGACAATCGAAGAGGGAGATTGGACTCTATTCTTCTTTGCATGGATAGTTTACCAGTAGGCAGGTTAAGTTTGTAAATGGGCTATGTCGGTCCACGTCTTCGTATGCCCCTATATAACGGTACCTCCCGATATTCGGTATTTTCATGATTTTAGCGACATTATTTACCGGAATTCTTTTTTGCGATATTATTCATCGTAATTGTACCAAATTTCGTATTTAATGTTCGTCATGGGTATGACAGAAAATGTATGTAGGTTCACTTTTTCGTATATCCCCTATATAACGGTACATCCCGATATTCGATATTTTGATAATTTTAGCGACATTATTCACCGGAATTGTTTAGAATTTGGTATTTGAAGTTTATAATGGGTACTACAGCCTATGACAAAAATTTCGTAAGCAGGTCCACGTCTTCGTATAGTCTACATATAACAATTTTCATTTAATTGGTAGTTTCCGGAAGTTTTTTGAAAATTTTCAAGTTTTTTCCAATTCCCAGCAAAAAGTCAAACAATCGGTGTTATCATGTATTTGGTTTAAATACACATCTTAAAATACAAAATCGAAGTCGAAGACAACTTTTTCATTCGAGGCAAAAATACAAAAGTCAACTTTTGTGGGATTACAATGGCCGATAGGCATTGCGACTCATTGTTGCATACCATATGATTGATAAATCATGAGGGACAATTACGGTAGAATTCGAGTGCGACACTGTCATTTCTTAGTAATTTGTCACTTAAAGTGCAATACGACGATGCCAAGCTTTTTATATATCCCTAGTCCCTATAAAAATTGACTTTTTTATCTCCTAAGAAGATTGTGAATATACTAACCTTTATAGAGAATCGTGTAACATGCAAAGGTGACATCGGCTCGTAAAGCTGATGTCGACAAAGAAGTTGATGCTGGTGTTGTAGAAGACGTTGTTGATGATGAAACGGTTTCGGAGCTAGAAGGAGCTGATGTCGTTGACGAAGAGGACGACGATGACTCAGAAGACGAAGATGATGGCAATGTTGTTGGACTTGTGGTTGACGAAGATGTTACAGTGCTTGATGTTGAAGATGAAGAGGACGAAGATGAAGGAGTTACCGTAGAGGATGACGATGACGACGAGGAACCGGTTGTTGTTGTTGAAGTTGACGACGACGAAGATGTTGGTGAAGCAGTTGAAGATGAGGAATTCGGCGGTTCTGTTGAAGAAGGCGTTGTAGATGACGAAGTCACTGTCGTCGATGTATCTGTGGTTGTTGAAGGAAGTGTTGTCGGCGTGGCCATCGGTGTTGTTGTAGACTCAACTTCACAGGTTATCAATTCCATGGTGTTGCAATTGTCATCATTACATTCGTAACACATAAAATTATTGGCATGAACTGAAAGAAGAGATTTTGAAAAGTATTAATATCAATCAATCAATACATCATTAAATATAATTAATACCCCAATTTTAGAAGAGGGAGGGCAATAAAATTTTTAAAATTGTTAATTACCGACATTATAAGCATTTAATTTCAACGACTTTTGTCGGGTACTCAAAATATGAGTTAGAGATTTCCACTACAGGGAGAGGTTTCTTGTTCTTCTATTTTCAGAGAACAGGAATTTAGACCCAGGTCTCTAATTTAATTTCTCTCTCTATCTTGTCATTGATTTGGCAGGGCGAGAGAGTCTCTCACCACTACTATTGCACATTGTGAGCAAGGTTAGTCTAAAGTCGAAGAATATTATCCTTAAGGAAATTAACATCCCTTAACATCTTCCTTTTATCGACACACAAAATATCCATTTAAATGTTCACTTTTTAAGAAATTGCAACCCTCGTTTTTACGTTTGTTTTATTTTGATATTCTTGCCCAATAAGAGGAATATTATTAATCTCCATTGCTTATTGCAATAATTCTCATTCACTTAATATAATGTTTTCTTAAATACATCTAAGGTTCTTCACTGTAGCTACTCTGGCTTCTCTTCAGTTTGTCGAATAAATCTTTCGCCTTTTACTAAAGATTTCCGTGGGGAGGAGCACTTTAATGAGTCTAAACAAGTTTTTTGACACGAGCCTAAATGTAATATTTTGGGCTCATAAGTAATACATTAGAAACATTGTATTTAATTTAAATTTTGTATGAAAGTTATTTTATTGGGACAAAGGTCTACATGAGGTCGGCCAGGAAGACTATTTTTGACAACGATTTGACAATAAACTTAGTAGTTTTTGAACTATTGTGGTTTGACTCTCTTTGAATTTCAAGTCAAAATTGTAGTTTTTCACAGCAAACTTGGATGTCAGATGGGCTTTCTGTCCGAACTTGTGTAGGCCTTGCCAGTTTTGAAATTGTTGGTCTTACTACCATAACCTATTTCCTTTTATGATGTGGAAGAAAGTTGCAAAACAAGTAGAGTTTTGCAGGTGCTAGAACAAACCATATACAGGGTGAGATAAAAAAAGTGCAGCAAAGTCAAACGCCATAATTTTTAGATTTTTTTTTTAAATTTTATTAAATGAAAGCAAAGATGTCGGAAGTAGCATCAAATTTTAGAATAAGTATAGATATGTTTGAATTGATCACCTTTGACACGAATTATGGCCTTCAAACGGCTAATGAAACCGTCACACGCTGCTTTGCGGTATTTTGGCCCATTCCCGGCGAAGCGCTTGCTTGAGGTGATCGACACTTTGGTAATTTTTTTTTGTGCCAACCTTGCTTTCCAAAATACTCCAGACACAATAGTCCAACCGCCTGAGTGTGATGGAATGTCCAAGGTCTGCGGCAAAAATGTTTGCGTGCTCAAGGCTTTAATATACCCTCCAGAATATTTTCGCCATAATATTCGGCATTTATTCTGATGCCACGATCGATTAATATGAGCGGAGAGCCACCATCGGCTGTTATGGCGGCCCATACCATCACCGAAGGTGTCATTTTCAGCTGACCTCTTGTAAAAAATTCTCACCAAAATGCTTTTGTACGCTTGAAAACAATTAAATGAGCTGTCACTGGAATAATTTTAACAGCTTCTGACGAGTGGCTTAGAAATGACAGCAGTCTGAAGTTGATCAGCATAAGATACTTTGTCGATTTAGCCGCGTCTAACGTATGTGTAAATATCTATAGTTTTCGAACGGAATGAGGTAGGTAGCCAAAATTTGTCTCCGTTGTTATTTTAGGTCCCAAAAAAATTGGCATTGAAAACGGAAAATATAGATCCACGATTTCTAATAGCTCGCAAATAAAATAGCACCACCCGATTTAAGGTATTTTTGGAACTTTAGTCATGTTATTTAAAATATCTTCTAAGAGCTCTTAATATAGATCCAAATTGGTATAGATGCTGACTCCCGATATTCGGTATTTAGATTTAAGACACATTTTTGATGGAGTTATTTCAAATTTGTAATTTGGAGTTTATAACAGATAGGTCTCCCGTAAGTCTTTCTGACAACTAAATTTGCTGTCAAAAGGCAATAGTTTCTAAGTTTCTAAGTTTCTTGTCAAACTGTTGTCAACAGCAGTCCTCTTCTATATTTTATATTTTGCCGCATGTTTTAATAAGCCTGACAGAATTTAGCCGCATTTTTACTTCATCTTTTTGGGTTTTAAATGTATAATTTATGAGCCCAAAACATTAGTCTCAGGTTCTGTCAAAAAACTAGTTTAGACTCATTAGATTGCTCCTCTCCACGGAAATCTTTAGTAAAAGGCGAAAGATTTATTCGACAAACTGAAGAGAAGCCAGAGTGATTGAAGCAGATAATCCAAGATGTACTTAAAGAAACTGTGTGTGGAGTAAATGAGAATTATATGCATTTACAAATAAGAACATCAATTTGGAATCATTTAGACGGTGGTTCAAATTCTTAGAAAATAAGTAGTTTAGATGACATTTAAAGGAAAATAACTAAGGTAGTTAAGGGTTGCTCTTTCACTTTAAGATCATTTACTCAGCTTTGCTGTATTTTTTTTCACCCAAAAAATATGAAGTGCCAGCAGTCTATATGAAATGCATTATTTATTCGAAATAACCCTTAGAATAAAAAAAACCAACGAAAGGCAAACTTCAATGGTTGTTCGTGCGAAATACCGGACTTAAGGGGATTATTTTTATTCGGTCATGTACAATGTTATTCTACCCTATTGGGAAAAATTTCGAAGAATATTGTAAGGAAATACCTATACTCCATTTGCTTATTTAAAATTCTATTCATTTTCTTTTTAAGAAATAATTCACATTTACTCGGTACATAGTTTCTTTAAATACATTTTCAATTTTCATTTGCAATCACTCTGGCTTCTCTTCAGTTTGTCGAATGAATCTTTCGCCTTTTACTAAAGATTTCCGTGGAGAGCACTCTAAATGATACACTAAACAAGTAAAACAGCCTTACGTCTTTATACCCAACCAAAAACCAATTAAATCGATTGAAATATTTGGCTAAGGCATTTTGCAAATGTGAAACTTTTGTGACCGAGATACGAAAATGGGTGGAACAATATTATCCATTTTCACACCTGACCTAGGTGTGGTTAGATTAGATAATATCATCTACTCCCTTTGCAATATATATGACATTCGTTTGTAATTTTTGTACTGTTGTGTGGAGGTATTTGAAGGAGTGAAACGATATTTCTTACCTCTGAACTGCATGGAAGATTGGATAAAATAGGACAGTTTCTTCACAGCTGAAGGTCACAACAGCCAGGCAATCAGACTGAGATAACCAGAGCGACTTGAAACGCATTTCTCCAAAAGATACCAAGGTAGAATAATACAGGTAGGTGCATCAACGCCTGGGAATATTGATATGTCAACATTTTTAAAATATTTTGTCGAAAATAAGTAGATTTTCATATGTTCTTATACGACGCAAATCGGAGGTCAAAATTTTTTACAAATTTCAATAATTTTTCATTCGACATTGTCAAATCCAAAATCGGTTTGGCAGTTCATTGTTCGAGCAGCTGTGTCGATGCGGCTACCCGTTATTTTCTACCATGAAATATACATAGGGTCTACCTAAAGTGCGGCTTTTCGGATAGGGACACAAAGGAAAGTGGACTTCAAGAAAAATCGGTTATCGACAATCGGTTATAACACAGTGGAGTTGTCATTTTCACTTTTTGGCTTTTCAACACCAAAAGTCGATTTCCGTACTTCTAGTTTTGGCCGTAGTTTCCATGGTAGCCATAAGGATGATGGTACGGAATTTGTGTTGTCTGTTGAGCTTTGAACGGACAGAATTAAATGAGCAAGAAATCATGAATACGACTTAAAGTCCTTTTGAATCCACCAATTGTTTTAAAATATGTGCAACAGTGCCAAGATTGGCTTTTCAAGGAATATTTTTATTGAGGACATAGAATGCAAAAAGTTGCAAATGCCAATAAAATTGGAAATTCCATAATTATATATTACAAACAATTGTCTTATTATTGTTATATATGTTAAATGTTTCCAAAAGAAATATTGACAATTGGGCGCCATGTTAATATAGAGAATCATTATTGACAATATCTAGCTAGGATTCCCACAGAAAGGGAAATGTTGGGAAACTGCATAGCATAGAATAATATATAGCTCACTTCCGAAGAGTGCCCGCCTAATACCTATGATAATTTGATAATTTTTTTTTATATCAACGAGTCTTTGAAAGTTGAATTCACAAATATAATGCCGGTTTGGTAATTTTGCCAGAATTAATATTTATAGACTCGCTAATTGAATTAATTTCGAGATAAACTATTTTCATTTTGGAATAATGCAAGTGCGTGTATTTATGCCTTCAGAAATCGCTCTATGTACCCTAATTTCGTTTAGTTCTCAAAGAAAATAGTTAACACCACACCCTTTTAAGCATGTGTCTAATCAGGTTCGTACTATACTTAAAATTTATTCTTTATGAGCCGAAAATGAATTTCAGGCTCTTCAAAAATATGTTGAGACTCATTAGAGTGCTCTTCTCCACGGAAATCTTTAGTAAAAGGCGAAAGATTTATTCGACAAAA